TAGCCATCACTCAAGACTAGTGGAGTGATGGTGGCATTACAAATTTTTGAAATGTGTTATGTAGTCTCTTTTTATACAAGTCCAGATTAAAGATCTGTTGATATATGGTTCCTGTTTATCTTTGGAAGTACAGCTGAGGGGCTAGCCTTTGGTAATAGTGTCTATTGGATACGTTTTGATGAAGAGTTTTCAGAGAAGGTAACTTGTGTTATCATTTTCTAGCAATTTTCTAATTTCTGTTTTTTTCCTATTATAAGTATTCGTATATTAAGATCTTCTATTGTTTTGCAGAAATTTAAATCTTCAAATCCTTTTGGCATCAAATACAAGTTCCATCTGGAGGTGTGTAGACCTTTATGGCTTCCTATATATCTTAGCTGTGTCCTTTGATATTATTGCTATTGATTAAAGTATGTACTCGCTCCTTTGTCGATTTTTGTTGCAAAACACAAATCTCAGCTTCTATTTGAATAATTTATTTGTTTTATAGCTAGTCTATATACATGTATGGTTTTCAGTTTTTGCTTTACGTGTCTAGAATCATGCACATTGAAGAATTTTTATTTGTCTTTTAGCCTCCATGATTTGCAAGTTCTAGCAGACTAAATAACTGTTCTTACTCTACTATTTATGGATTTGCATGTGCTATGAATGAAACCAAACACTATTTTGGGGCTCAAAACTCAGTTATTAATTTTTATCAGACAATAGTTTATGTACATATATCAACAGGTTGAGAATCCCATTTTAACACGACTTACAAAAGACTTTGTATTATATGCTTGGAATGTTATCATCCTCCTATTAAATCCTGAAAACCAACATACGGTTATCCTCTTATTAAATCCTGAAAACCAACATAGGGTAATCCTCCTATTAAATCCTGAAAACCAATCTACGGTTCTGATATTGAAAATCCTTTGATTGCATCTATGTGTGAATATATATGATTTATCTGCTTTTCAACAAATAAACTGTCAATATTTGGATTGTAGGATGCTGTTGATTGTCCTGAGTGGATTGTTCCTTTCCCCGTCTTCAAGGCAATGGCTGAAGAGGTATTAGCATGTGTGCCTCCCACTTTTAGTTGTTGACATGTACTTCACCACAGGTCATTTGTTTTTTGACTTTATATGTCCCTTTTATATGAATACGAGAAATTGTAGGTGTAAATGTGCCCTTTTTTTATCTTATATTATTTTTTATTTTAAATCAAGACCATGGTAGGTTTTCTTTTATATAGAGAAGGCAATTTTCTTGATTGAGAGCAGTGTTATCAAAAGCAAAAAGAGTTGTAAGGTCTGTTGGGGCTTTAAGCGCAAATAAAGTGTAGACTTTGATGCAAAAAGGCGCAAAGGGAGAAAAAGTATAAATATATATATGATTAGTCCAAGACTAATAATTTGTAAGCATGAATGACAAATATATGAACAAAGAAATTAAAAATAATTACGATAAAAAGTGAAATATCAATTGTGTAGTGTCGTCTCCTCAAAAGAGGTTCATTGGCAAGGAAAAGTATGTCTTAGAAC